GATGCTGGTGAATGAAAAAAGAAAAACAAACAGTTGAAACTATTTGTCTGGACGTGGAAAATCCATTTCCAGCTAAAAACTCCGACCAGGATGATTCCCGACATCCTCGTCTGGCTTTTACTTACATTTTAGCGACTTCTTTAACCAGCTCTCTGCACGTCATTCCTTTCATCTGATGGATGATAAAAACAAAACGCTGTGAACATGTAGCTCTTCTTTCTGTGTGATGTTGGGTCAGAAGACGGTCCTGTCTGTCTGTCCTACAAACTGAGCAGCACTTCATCCTTCAGCTTCACTTGCAGACATGCAGCAGGAACCAGAGCTGCTTCACATTTATTCTACACATTCATTTGGCACATTCTGCCAAACTCTCAGGGTTATTTCACACAGTATTGGAAATACATAAAAATATAGAAGAAATAATTCAACTCCTTTTTTAAATAGCAATACATTTCCTAATTAAGTTGAACAGCTTCAGTTTCTGTTTGTCTGCTGTAGAAGCGTCTCACCTGCAGCTTTTCAATCTCTGTCTTGGCAGCTTGTTTTGCTTTTCCAATGGCACATCCCCAGTAACCCTGAACACACACACACACACACACACACACCACACACACACACACACACACACACACACACACACACTGCATGGTTAGTGGTGCTATCAGCAGCGCTCCCTCCCTGCTGTAGCTCTGACAGACTCACGTATGAGATGCCTGACGGGTCGACCATGTAGAGCTGCGCTCCGTCGTCTTTGTCGTATGAACCCAGGATGAAACTGAAACGACACAGAGTCGTTAGGGTCATTAGAGCTGTCAGAGCTGCTGACCGCAGCAAACATTCTCCTTCCTGCTCCAAACACACACTGGCCAGAAGCTGGGCCGGATCCAAGGAGCTCATCGTTTCCTCTCATCATCAAGCCCAACGATACCAATATGACTGAAAGTTGTGCATCTTAATGCTGCACATTTGTTCAGACTGTCAACATGTTGTGACAGAATGATATAAGAGAGAATCTGAAGAAAAAAAGAAAAAGAACCCAGCTCCTCTGCCTTCTCTCAGTGCCAATCAATCAATCAATCAATCAGGTTTGTCAATCATCCTCTCTGTGTCCTCTTGCTCTCTTCTTTAAATCAGCTTATTGTTGGTAAGTCCGTCACAATAAACAATAAATCTGTTAATTGGATGATAAATGAAAATGATCAACCTCATTTTAATTTGTCAGCTTTATGGTTTTTTCCTGCCTTTTTCTCTTTCTATTGATGACACTGGATGAAAAAAGGCTCAACTCTGGTGCTCTGACCTCAAGTCATCACCATGAGGGAGGAGTGAATTATTGGATATGTCCATCTTCTCTATCTAAATCTAATGGTTATTAAAGGGCAACATAGTATACATAATCTGTGCTCTTTTGGTTGAATGTAGTTTTTATTTCCACTTTGGTTTCATGTTGTTTAATTTTTATTCATTCTATTAATTTTTGGGTTGTTTTGTTTATTTGTTTACCAGTTCCAGTGTCCAGTAATCTTTTGAAAAAAAGAGGCCAATAAAGCCAGGACTGCTTGCGTTGTGACATCACTACCACTGCATCAGTTTAAAATGGTCTTCATACGATATTATCGTTTATCACAATCATTTTTCTGACAATCCCTCAGCAAAACGTGTCATTGTGACAGGCTTCGTTGTTGGGCTCAGATGTAGAAGTGAACCAGCATGAAAGCAGCATTCAGCAGTCAGTATTTTCACAGTGTGGATAGAAACAGCATCGGCTGCTCTGCTGACTCACCTGCAGCCGAACGGCCTCACGGCGCTGTACAGCGTGTAAGCGTGGACGTACATGGCCACTCTGTCCGACAGGTGCTGCAACGACACGGCAGGTTCTTAAACTGAGCCTTAGTCATGGAGACATCGTGCTTCGCTCCGCAGAGAGGCTACCTTCAGAGGAATGTCGTGTCCGTAGTTGGATCTAAAGTTGGAAGCTTCTTCTCTGGCGACCTCAGCCAGGGAGCGAGCGTCAGCCAACAGGCCGGCCACCGCCTGGAGGAGCAAGGCAGAACAACACCTGTAACTGATGGAGCCGGGCTGGTTGGTGCCTTACACAACCGGCTCCAGTCCGATCCAGTCCCAGAATAAAGCCGTATCCAACACACGGGATCGGTTTCCGAAAAGTTTTCACACGATGTTGTTTTGAACATGCTAAACCCAGAGGGGGCAGTGTAGAGCAAACCTATTACAGCCAATCAGATTGCTTCAAACCAACCATGACTGAAACATGGCAGCAGGAGATTCATTTGTGTAGAACAGATATGAAGGGTTTTTTAAATAGCATATGATGAGATAAAGATAAATAAGCAAATATTATCCATCACAGGCTGCAATGAGCAGGACCATAATCTCTGTTTTCTTATATAAACATGCAAACATAAATATTAATTTTTAGTTATATTAAACAAAGTTTTTGTGGATAAAAGGCCAAAAACACAAAAACATATTTGTAATCCCAGATATGCAGCAATGTGTGGACGAGGACGACGTTTTAATGTTTCCCTACAGCCTTCTCTGAACAGCTAAACACTGATGTGTGTCACATGGTTCTTCCTCTGATTTATCAGAAAATATAAAGAGCATGTGACCATCAGGTCAGCGATGACAGAGTTAAGTTTTGTTTCAGAATTTGTGGATTTACTGAGGCAGAAATCAGCAACACAAATGATTTCTCTCCTGTCTGCCAGCAGACTCGTCTGTGCATCTGTTTTTATGTACTCTTTAATAGTAATTATGGCACAAAGATTAGCTGCTGCTGCTGCTGCTTTACAATGACAAGATTTCTTAAGTGAGATGGCTAAGAATCAACAATTTTTGTTATTTGGATTAAAGTCAACAAATGATCAGTTTTTTATTGATACTGATTGTATCGTCTGATTTCACCTCCATCAGTCATAGAAGCAACACTTGATCCCATCAGTCAGAAGAATCGCACTAAGTTGTATTTATCCTCTCCAGTGTCTACTTTGATCTGAAGGTTAGGGCTCTGTCTACGTTACCATGCCGACGTGTCTGTCGATGTTGAAGATGCGTTTATTGGAGCCCTCCTCATACAGTTTGGACAGAACCAACTTCTCCACCCCAAACACAATCCCGTCTTTACAGCGGATCCCGATGGCCGTGCTGCAGACAAAACACACACTCACAGTTCAGCAACAGAAACCAGCAGCTCATCACCAAAACTCAAACCAGAACCAGAATCCACAGGGATGAGTCACTCCTGGGTCAACCAGGAGGCCTTCCATTAGAACTGACCTGCTGTTCTCTACCGCCTTCATGGCGTACTCCACCTGAAACACTCGGCCATCTGGAGAGAAGGTGGAGGCCGAAAGGTCGTACTGCAGCCCCCCCACACACACACACACACACACACACACACACACACAGTTTACATTAGTGTCTATTGAAGGGCAACAATAAGAATTATCAACTTGTGTGAAGGACGAGTAATTATTTTTTTCCCCAAAACTGCAACTGTACAAACAAATAACATGAACAAAAGTAGACAAAGAAAAAAAGGCAAAATGTCAATTAGAATAACTGAAGATCTATGAAGGTCAGTTTTGGTATTTCAACATATAGGTTTAAATTTTTGATTTGAATGAAAGTAAACTGTAATTTCAGTGATGTGTGTTCAAACTTTCAATTCATGTTCACATGTTAGCAAAATAACATTACTGATTCAGCTGCATTTGCTGATGACCATTTTTCTAAAATCAAACACAAATGAGTGAATAAAAATCCATTAACAGACAGGCAACAGATACTGGATTTCACCCCAGTGAGGGGCGTAGGGGTAATAAGTGAGACCCCGAATGAAGCAAATATGTTTAAACAGTGAATTAACATGTTAGAGTGTGCTCTTTAGTGATTGGTATTTAACTGACACAGCCGTCAACTTAAAAGTAGATTTCTGAAACAGAGTCTGGCTGACAGCGCAGCTAGTTGTTAGCATTAGTAAAGTTACATCTCAATATCAGAAGGTTTAAAGTAAACTCATTTAATGAGATGCATAATTACGCTCAGTATTTGCGCTACCACAAGAAGTACAAAAAACACATATATAATGAAACAAAGAGGGATTTTACTTTCACTTCACTGAGCTAATAGGCCTGCTTGTGACTCAGCAGGCTAACATGGCAGACAAGCTACTTGTCGCCACCAGACAAATGCTTTTTAAAATATAAAAATAGTCAGAAACCTGCCAAAGAAAATGTTACATTTACATAACAAAACCACAGAGTAACAGACTGTAGACACTCACCCCGGTTCCAATGGAGCTCATTTTTGACAAGAACTATGACTTCAGCACACTTCTCCACCACTCCGCCCGCTTTTCCGGAGAAAAGCTATCCTCTTCCGCTGTTGGCCCTTCAACAATAAAAGCCCCCGGTGTACGGAAATGATTTTTGACTTGAATGAAAATTCAAATACCGGTAATAGTAATTATTTGAGAAAAATCTTTTCATCTCAAAAAAATAAATCTAATTATTTTGAGTTACTATCTCATTATAATGAAATACCATCTCATTATTTTGAGATAGAATTTCATTATGAAATACCATCTCATTATTTTGAGATACCATCAGTATTTTGAGATAGTATTTCATTTTAATGAAATACCATCTCATTATTTTGAGATAGAATTTCATTATAATGAAATACCATCTCATTATTTTGAGATAGTATTTCATTATAATGACATACCATCTCATTATAATGAAATACCATCTCATTATTTTGAGATAGTATTTCATTATAATGACATACCATCTCATTATTTTGAGATACCATCAGTATTTTGAGATAGTGTCTCATTATAATGAGATAATTTATTTAAATTTTTTTTTAACCGAGTGGCAGAAATGGGCTTCCATACATCACAAACTAGACTGGAAGATTTCGCTACCAAACAGTCAGGTATTATGCGTCTTTAGAAAATCATATAAACCCAGCACTTGTAGGAAAAGTGTCCATAAAGTTTTATTGAATCTCAGGATGACCAGGGTGGATTACAGACCTGCTGAAGATGAAACAATTAAAATAATGTGAATTTCAAAATCATTCATTTAACTCTTTTCTATTTCAGCACACCTCCATTTTTAATTGTTCATTTTTAATCGGTAATGGAAGCTTTGGTCACATAAGAGTGAAAAAACATTCATATACAGTAATGTTGAAAAAAACAAACTGAAAACATTTCTTGTGTAGTTTTCTCTCTTTTTTTGAAAAATAAAGTTAAACTGAACGACTGACATTAAGGCAAAAAGACTGAAGCTCCACCATCGACTGGAATGGAAAACAAACCGAAGCAACAGACAATTAGCATTCATTGGTTAATACAAACAAGTACAAGTAAATTTTTGTAGATTTTTTTTTCTTTTAAATGACACTTAAACTAGAACAGGAACCAAGAGCCGACTTCCGCCTGCACATACCAGCAGTAACACACGTTAAAACAGATTCAGACATACGACCGTCACCAAAACAGAGGAGGAAGATATGGATGGTGACATGGTGGGTAACAAGCAAACTTGTCTCTGAAACAATGCAAAACAGAAACGTTTCAGGATTGAATTAGTTTAGTCTTTTTTGCTGATTTGCTTCCCAATAATTTAGTAAATGGACAAACCATCCCAGTGTGACACACACATTTATCAACTAAGATATGCGTCAGTAAAGAGAAAAAACTCGGCGACGTGGAAGCAGAGTGAGAAGCTAAAAATAGTTCAGATTTGTGTTCCAATAAGGATGTTTGCTGTATTAGTTGATGTGTTTTCTTAATTATTGTTTTGAGTCACTTAAGAACAAAATGTGCCATGTTTACACTGTTGGGTTAATAAGTCGATGGTCATTTGACAAACTGGAGGCATTTAGTACAGACCAACATGCTGCTTTCACTTTCAACCTTCCAGTGGCGTTCATGTAACTTCATCAGGTTGCTTGATAGTGTGGATAATTGTGGAACACATCAACAAATCATATTTGTCATCTCATTGCATTTATCTGTAGATTATATGGTGAATTTATTTTATGTAGAGTATTTAAAAGAGTTTTTCGTGCGGTACTTAAACTCAGCACAACTACTAATAAATGTCCAACTACAGCTGAGAGCTGAACTACATCCAGACTGCAGAGCCCAGACGGCCCACCAGATTGTTTTCTCTGGGTGATAAAGACTTTCAAATGATGGATGTTCAGGAGAAATCAATTAAATATCTAAACTGACAGACTAGAATGAAAGCACGCTAAAAGTGTTGCAGTGCTTGTATTCGGCCAAGAGGACCAGTGCCGGTGCTGAGGTTCTGATGATGAACCAGAAGAACAAGCATGGGTGGCGTTAGGGATTGTGAGTAGTGATGAAGACTGTGTTTGGTTACTGATGAAGAAAACAGACTTCGTGTCATTTTTGACCCCCAGCTGTCTGTCTGCTCCACATGTCTCAGTGTTTTGTCCATTCTTACAGGCTCCGTCCTAACAGTGGGCGTGTCCAGCTGGCTGCAGGCAGGATGAGACGGTTAAGTGTTACCTTTCAGGACGCCCACACAGCTCTGCAGTAGCTGCAGGTTACCCTAGAGACACAAGCAGACAAGTAGTCCATGAAAAACACAATCCAGTCTGTTGTGGCAGTGACAAAGGAAGGAAATGGAAATATCTGTCTCATTTAACTACAAAACATCAGGGTTTTTCCCTTTGGGAACCCAAAACCGGACCAATAATGACCCTAATTCTAAGTCATGGGCTCTCCTCCCCACTCTCTGCTGACCCCAGAGTGACATCGGTACCTTGGCATGTTTGAGCTCTAGTTCTGCCAGCTCCACCAGGTTCTTCCTGAACGCTGCCACTCTTCTTGTCTTGAAATCTATCAGCTCTACGTTCAGAAGGAGATGCATCGTTAGTTTCGAACAAAAGGACCAGTTCAAAATCTTCAGGTCTGTTTCAATTATCACCTTTGCAACTGACATTATAATGTTGCTTCTAAACTCAGTACATTTCTGATTTAATGTTTGCCAACAGCTTATAAAAAAGCAAAATGAGCATGTTGTTCAGAGGTCATAAAAAGGTCAGGTACAGGTCACATTAAGGTAAAAAAATAAAATAAAAATCTAATTTGGGTCATTTCCGGTTGCAGTGTGAAAGTGGTATAAATAGTTCTACTGCAGATGTGTCGGCATGTTCTATCAATGTTTTATAACAACTGTATAGCTGTCATAACATCAGCATAACAACAAAACCCTAGTATGCTGCTAGCTTAGCCTCTAACGAGACTAGCAGTTTAATTAGAGGCTTCAACATCTCACACTACAGCAGTGACTGACCTTGCTTGGCAGACTCAGAGATCTTCTCAAACTTGTGGCAGCAAAGCTGCTGGTTTGTCTCTGCCTGTAAAACATCTCTGTTTTTAGCTCGTGCTTTATCCAGAGCTTTATTAGCGTTCTCATAGTCCACCAGACCCCGGCTCCTCCGGTACAGCAGGTCCTGTCCAGGGTGGCACATGAAAAATCAATATTTTCACTCAGCTAGCTCATTATTGGTGACTCGTCTGTCAGTATGTGTTCAGACCTTAGCAGCCTGTGACTCCCGAAGGTAATATTTGAGCAGGTCAGCCAGCTTCAGGTCTTCATCTGCTGCAACTCGAGCCTCAATTTTCTTTAAGACAAAAACCAAAATAGAAACAATCAGTTTCAGGAAAAAGACTTTCAGGTAAAGGTCCAGTTCACAGCAGAGCTTACCGCATATTCTGGGTTTAATTATTGGTGGAGTTCTGAGTTGCATTTAAAACTTCCTTCCCAGTAATGTTTCAGTGACTACCTTTACTGTTATTCTACAAGTGAGTTATAAAAGTACATTGTTTTGTTATTTGTCACCTCAAAAACGCATACATGAGGTGAGTGTTGTGTAATGATCTTAGATATTTAGGGCTTAAATGGATTCAAATGTTTCAGAGGAGGAAAGCTAAAATAAGCCTGTCACAATAACAATAAATTGTCCCAGAGCTTGTTTACAATAAACGTAACATTGTTGTTTTGAGTAACAATGGAAGAATAATTCAAGAACACAGTCTCAGAGATCAATAAACATTACATTTTGATGAATATTTAAACATTGGAACTGGAAGACATTTTAAATATCCCAAATAAATAAACAAAACAACAGAAACGACAAATAAAATGAATTCTGAATTCTCTGTAGACAAAATTGTCTTTCAAAAAGGGATAATTAAAAGCAAAACACCAGACTGAAGAGCAGTTTTGGTGAAGAGAGAGAAATGATAAATCAAGCAAATGAAAATTATTGCGTTTGCTTTAGTTTTAGCATGCGATGAATTGATTTATTGTTTATTGTGACAGGCCTATTGCTATACACCACCGCCATGCTGATGACACCCAGCCTATATCTGCCACTCCCACCCAACAACCACCAGGCCTCAGGACAAATCATCCCAACTGTTCAGTTAGCAAATTGAACTTCTGTCAACTGTAGTCAGGCCTACAAGTAGCCTCACCTAATCAGGATCACAAATGAGAGGACATGAAGACACACTTACTCTAGTTTTCTCGAATAGCTCTGACACCTTCAGGAAAAACCTTAAGGAAAGAAAAACAGAGGGACATTATGTGAAGGTACGTCAGGATATGATTTCATTGTGGAATTACGAAATTCATCTTCCATTTTCCATCCAAATGCACATATTTTTCTCTAGCAACAGAAAATGTTGAAAAATCAACTGGGTATGGATGTTTGTGTCTGTGATTTTATTAAAGCAGCTCAAGTTAAAGGAACAAACGCCTGTGCAGTAGGCGTTATGTTTAACTGCAAGTTGGCGTGTCATCAAAAACATTTAAAAACATCTTCACAGTGTTATATTTCTTTTGCATAATCAGAACTGAACACAAAGCTTGAAAAAATAACTAAACTGGGTTTTTTGGATCCTTTTTTCATTATTAGTTTAGAGCTGCAACTAAACACAATTATCCATTTAAGCCTTTTTTATACATTATTAGAAATGCATTAAAAGATGCAAAATTCCTTTCTTAGATAAGAAAAACATTTTACTGCCTGTAATGCACTAACGCAGCATTCCAGTAGTGAATCTGAAGCAGGTGTTTTAGTTTTGGCTAAAACACATTAACAGACAGATGTGTTTTTATCTTCAATGCAAAATGAATGTATGTTTTGTAAAATTTGGACTTAATTCCTGCTCTAAATACGTTGGGGGTTAGGGGGAGTTCTCCAAATTGCCTTTTTTGATTAATCGATTACAAAATCTGTTGACGATTATTTCAACAATCGATTAATCAGGATTAATCCACTTGATTGTTTGAGCCCTGAAATAGCTTTGTCCATACTTGCAGAGATCTGTGGAGTCCTGTGTTCCTAATGTATACAGAGAGGAGGCGATTCTGTTCATGTCATCAGCAGCATCTAAACAGGCAGAGATACTCATCAGACAGCGATCACAGCACAAACCCACCAAAACGAAAACAATGATAGCATTTCAACCTGCTCTCGCTGCCAGGAAAACATCTTCAATAAAACACAAATAGGTGGGTTTTTTAGGTGGGTGTTTCCACCATGGAGCTTACAGTTTCTTAATTGAAGCTGGTACTAATGCCTCGTCGTTATAAAGGTCACATTCATTTATTATTGGATCCTCCTTCAGTTTGATTCTGCGTTTTTTTCTAAAGGCTGTTAGTGCCTGGACAATTTAACTACACAAAAAATATTTATGTCAATACTCCTTTTTAATAGATGCCATAAAATAACCACCTCAGTTTTAGTTTAGCTCAATGTTTTCAAGGCTCGGGACAAACAAGAGTTGGTGCTGTGAAGAACTGGTGGAAAAAACACATCAACACATTTCCAGGAGTCAGCAGAACCAAGGAGAGGACAAAAGAGTCATTTGGAAACATGAAGCATTCATCTAGAATGCTTCTAAATGACTAAATGGTTTTGCATGGCTCGAGCTTACTTTTATGTGAGCGGATCATTCTGTCACATTTGGCCGAAGCATCTTTGACTCTATTGTGATATTCTAGTAGAAACGTCTTTTCATGCTCAAAGAAATCATCCACGTCCTGAAAGACAAGCAGGAGAAGAGACGCTTCGATAAAAAGTCAAAATGAGAGCATGAAAGGCTCCCAAACATGAGTAGTGAGCTCTACTTCTGGTTTTACCTTGACTCCAGCCACTAGAACACCATCAGCCGACTTCACAACGTTCTTAAAGAAATCCTCCAGTTTCTCCTTCTTGTTCTTTCCTCGTACACTCAGCTGTCAGGGACAACATGGTGGCGATCACACACACTGCATATGGACCATGGATTTCCTCAGCTATTCCTGACTCGTCCCATTTATTGCTTATGAATCAACTCTGAAATATTAGTATCTATTAAGACTCAGAGTATTCACTGTACAAGCTGTGCCTGACACTCACATCCTGGTTGTACTCCAAGAAGACGTGGAAATTGAGGTCCTTCCTGAGGATGGGATGAGCAGCCACACGACAGAGGAAGACCTCATGCATGGCAACGGTCTTCTTAAAGATAGCCAGGTACTCTCTGGATGAAAACACACCAGTCAGGTTCACTCTTTTAAGGGCAGTGTTATGTATTTTCCAGGCACATTGTGCCATTTCATAATCACAATCAAGCTACTATGTTATATTCCATTGTTATAATAATGCTGCATATATCAAATAAACTTAAAATACATTTGAATCTAATCATGCATGAGAAAACATGCATGAAAGAATAAAGGCGACACTCCAGATATGTTTTTATGGGGGAATAACATTGTAACATGTCAAGTTCAGAAAAGTTGATTTTTCATAATACTGCCTCTTTAATACATGTGACTATGCAGAGAAGGTGTGTGACTTACGCCTCCAGCTCTTGCTTCATCTTGGTGAACTCCTCCTTGGTCATGGATCCTTCTCCTTCCCCCAGTTTCTGCAGCTTTTCTCTGGATGCATCAAAGTCAGGTCTGGGAGGGGCTGGAGGGATCTGCCAAACACAAGACACTGATAAATAACTCTAGCTGCTACAATCACTTAAAGTAAATGTTTAAACACTTTTTGTACAAAGTCAGCGCCTCCATTTGAATGTGTGTGGTTCTTACGATGTATCCTGCATAGTCTTCATTTTCAACGAATGAGTCGTGTAGCCAGATGAACTCTTCATGTTGTCGGACCACAGAGAACTCGTTCTGTTTGAAATTGGGGAGCGTACTCTGTGGAAACATGGAGCGCAAGACTTAACATCCTGACACACTGATCTGAGGCAGCCACTGCAGGTGAGTGAAGGTGAGAGAATAAACTGATGTGAGTCTCACCTTGGTGTGGACAGTAAACTTCACCTTGTCCCTCTCACTGAGCGCGTCAGAAATGTCCACCTGTAGCGTGGCGTCCATCTCCAGATCCACGTTTACCGCTCGCGGCTGCAGGACGACACAAAGCATACATTCCATAAGGTCAGATCAACCTGAAGGCTCAGAGTCAAAATGGGAGTTTGTGGCTACAACCCACATGCCATCTTTGACTGCTGATATTTCTTGATTAAAATATAAAACAACAAATTACAAACACTTTTTGGTGAAAAGAAACTAAAAAGAAAAAAATTAGATATTTCATTAAGTCCAGGCTGGACGATAAATTGTCACAGAAGTTATTACGATAAATGATAAGATTGTTATTTTGAGACCATTTCGAAGTGACGTATTGACAATGGCACAATAATACACTCTATAATACACCCCCGCCCCATGACACCAAAACACAAATACATACTACTTACAAACTAGTCTCTAAATAAAATGTTCCTTCAAAAAATGGGTGAGATGCTGTTCAGTGTGATATTGAACATTTTTTAAATGTCACTGAAAAAATGTCCAGAGAAGTGTAGATCAATCAAATAATAATGTCTTCATCCACCCATTAGGGCTGTCAAAATTATATTTATGGTACAAAAAAAAAACTATGCAAAAATACTCATTTCTTTCAAAAACTGTCAAGAGTTTTTATCTCAATTTCAGCAGTAATGTGCATTGCTTAAACAGATAGAAAGAGTGTCTGAGCAGACTGTTGGAAATTAAGCTTTCTATTCATGTGTTTTAATGTAAATTCTGGAATATTAATTACTCTAGTACAGTTTTATATGCTGCTGCAGTCTAAATAGTGAACTGACATATAGAATCAGACCATGTAAAAGCTCTTTTAATGCTCTTTCAGAGTAAATACTTTACAATAAAAACTACACTATACAGCAGTAGTTCTCAAAGTTTGGGTCAGGACCCCAAATATATGAAAGAGCAAGAATATGATACGTTTTCAAATCTAACTTAAAAACACTGTTTAAAAAAAACTGCTCAGTTAAGTCATTGACTGCATATGTATGCCAGTGATTAAGTCTGTAAGTGTGTGTTTTTCTATTTACTGTGATTAGAAAGCGACTTGTGATATATCCACTGTTAATTTGATCTGTAATGTATATCCATTTTGGGGCCTTTCAAAGAGACTCCAAATGCAAATTAGCTTCAGTGCATGAATGGTGACATTTATGTTTGAGCTGAATATGGTCCCTTTCTAAATAAAGTTTATTGCCAAAGATAACATATTAAGCAATATGACCTGATGATGTCTCAACTAAGAGTCAGGGGCAAGAGCCTCTTACTTTTTATTTTGTGGGTGAGATGTTGGACCATTTGGAAGTTCTGCTTTAGTTCCCTAAAGATAGCAGCCAAACCCCACGTCTGCAGATCTACTTCACTAGAAAATGAATCCGTTCCCACAGTAGGTAATGTGTCTGGCGCACTTTTTTCACTGTGTTGGACAAATATGTTTAAAAGTAAACCATAGATAACATATTAGGATCTTCCTTTAAGTAAATAAAAATGCAGAAGAAACACAAAGAGGAGAGGTGTGTCAAATCATGTGACAACCTGGTTGTGAACAGGACAGCACAAACCGACAATGTCAGTTCAAAATAAAAAAAGAACTGAACACCCAGCGAACTGTTAGCCATCTCTTTAGCTGTGTTAGCATGTAAAGCTAGAGGCCCATCAGCCACTGTCTTTATTTTGACTCTCGGTAGTGGTAACCAGTCTGACCACAACTGACAGACGGTAAACCAGTTAGCATGAAGCTAATATTAGCCTGGACGGCTAACAAGGCTAAAATGTATCAATTAAAATTCAGTGGTGGAGCTGAGTTGAACAAGAACAATAACTGTATGAAACGGCATGCTGGAACATATAGTAGGGCAGGGGAACAGATTGATTGGTATACAGACAGACAGACAGGCAGAAGGAGGGCACTCACTCCCCGGTCCTCTTCGGAGAGGAAGTCGGGTCCGTCGTCCAGCCCTTCCTGCTGCAGAGACACAAACACACAGTTATTTCCACCGCAGCTCGAGCAGAGAGGAATCGCTGCAAGTGTCTTTCATGGCGCGGGACACCACCAAGCTGAAAAAACTACACAAAAACAAGAAAGAGGGCGAGGAAAAGAAGAAACCCACCATCATGGCTGCGAACGGCTGGTGACAGGAAGTGGACGCGGCTGCCAAATCTCGTGAGAAGAAAAAAAAATCATGGAAACGTTCGGAAACGTAGGAGTCGGTCATTTTTAAAAAGAGGAACAGTGAACTGCAAAACACTATGACACTAAAAACCATGATTTTTAATTTCTTTATTTTAAGACTGAAGACAGGGATTGTTGTGTGGAGACTGTGACTTCATGAAGGAACTGCCATTTGTTTTCTTTAAACTATTTATGTAATAATCTCCTTTATTGTTGAGCATTCAACACATCTACAGGCTTATGTATTTTTCCTCTTTATTGGGCTCCCAACTTTGATGTCTCTTATTTCTCACATAGTGAAAAAACATAGAAGATGGATAAACTTGCTCTTGGAGAGAGACATTTTTTCCCCTCTCATTTTTTTCATTCTGCCTAGATAAATCTCACTCTAACCAAGAAAAATATCTTAAAGAAGAAGAAGAAAAAGGTACCTTGTCCCAAGTTACATAATACTATTTTTCACACTGCTTTTAGGGATTTTATTAAAATGGCGGTTTTTGGCCCTCATAGGCCTTTAGGGACCATACATTTGCCATGGATGGATGTTGCCCTTGGTTGTTTATTGAGCCACATGTTCAAGCTATAAGACAAGGGCCATGTTTACAAACCATAACAATAAGGGGCTCAGAAGAAAACATATGCCTCTATGCTGATGATGTACTGGTTAGTTTGAGAGATCCAATCAGGAGCACCCAGACTGATAAAACTGTTGCAAACATACAGTGACTTGTTATACAATTATTTATTAGGCCCGAGCAGCTAAGCGCTGGGAAGGCCTATTGTTTTTGTACTGTTTATTTCCTTTCTTCTTCTACCATATCAACAAAAACACACTGTATACTATGAATACCAAAAGGACTACACTGAACTATTTTATTTTGTGTCTGTGTTTGTTCATTTAATCTTAACACCTATATTTATTTATATCACTAAAAAGGAAATGCATAACCCCATTTAGCAGTTGTTTTTAATGCTCATCAAAGGTCTTGTTCTTGGTTTTGTTGTGTTATGTTTGTTTTGTTTTCTTAACTCAATTTTTTGCTTCTCTTTCTTATTTTACAATATAAGAAGTATTTTAGCAGCAAATCAAAGTAATCTATTCTGGTTTATTGGTTTTAAAGTGGACCCAAATGCAGAGAGAAAGAGGCAGCAAGTAGATTAAAGTTTAAACATGAATTGTCCTAAGAGATAAAGACTTTTATCTCCAGATTAATATCCATTGTGTTTTTCTGTCTTTCTGGCATTGCTTTTATCGCCTATAGCACCTTTTATCCTCCATTATACTTCTGTCCTTAGCACTAATGTTATCGGTGCAACAATACATCTCATTCAGCACTCCAGGACTTTTAATATTTGCTGCAGTTTTCATGTTTATTTCTTCCACTTCAAAACAGGCACTGAGTTCATTCTTTGTGGCGGTTTTATCTATTTGAGAGTTGGGATAGGTCAAAGCTTTTAGGTCTTTTCTGAGTTCCGTCGCTGTTGGTGTGGTCACCTTAAGCCCAACACTCAATTCATCATGTCCTGTGTTTTTCTCATAGATGTAGATAAACCCGTTATGGCAAATGTCAGATGCACAATCTACATCTGAAATTGTTATCTGGTCACCCTCAGCCTTGTAGACCAGTTCTCCACGCATCAGATATGTGCAAAAGTGGTCAAGCAGACAACTCATAGCTTGGTGGCAAATGACCGAGGACAGACGGTACAACAGTGTTCCAGTATTTAGAGGAATGTCAATAGTCAGACTAGGAATCACAGGAAGTCTTAGATCCTCCCCGCTGTCTGACCGTTTCAGATACAGGGATATCACATTAGTGTGGTCGAGGAAGTATTTTCTCCTTAAGTCAGAGTAGCAGACGTCACAACATTTTTCATAGGTCTCAGAAGCCCAACAGCTAAGGAGAGTACTGGTACTGTCATATGGTAGAGGAACCGGCAAACAATGGGACCGAGCTCCCAGATGTCCCGATAAGCTTCCCGACATCCTTCACAAGCAGCAGCTGTGTACACCACACAGCGTGTGTTAATGCCACATGGTTTAAACCAGGTTCAAATACTTAACAAAAAGTTTGTTAGGTCATTGTGTTTTATCAAGTATTCTGAATCTATAATTTCAGTTACTTCCAACAGAATTTGGATAAATATTTTTCCAGCTGGTGCATGGCTGTATGGAAGAGGCTGATGCACAGTGGAGCTCCTGACAAAAACAAGTTGAGAAGCACAATAAGACAGAAGTTTAGTCTCTCAAATATAACTATCTGAACCTCTGTGACATCATCAATGAAAACATTTTATGATAATGTCACACTGTATAAAAATGTCAAGCGAGTTCTCGATTTTTTAGTTGCTATGGAATCTCGAAGAATTGTGGAAGTGGTGCAAGTTTTTTAAAAGGTTCAGTGTATGCCAAGAAGAATGGATCTTATGCAACTACAGTCACTGTTTAAAGACCAGTTATCGTCATTATTAACTCAGACATTTTTTAAAAGGTTTTATCAGTTCTAACTGCCTTTATTTCAGAGTGGTCAGACAGTCAGGGGGAAGACATGCAGTAAAGGTCATCAGGGTGGAATTGGAACCTGTGACCACAAACTGCATCCTCTATATAATAATCAGTTTGTTGAAGCTGGGAGTAACCTCAAAGATTTAAAGTACAATAAATTGAATTTCTGAAAATACCAAATATGATTGGTAGAGAAAAAAAAATACCAGTAGACATTTTGTCTGCCACAGGCTTTTATTGCAAAGTGGCTTCCTGTGATCTCAGAAACAAAGTTTCACTTTAAGGCTCCAGATGATGATGATGAAGATGATGATGATGTTGTTGTTGTGGGGAGGGGTCATCTCTCACTGTTGGGGAAGGTAGAGGGTGGGGAGTGGCGAGTGGGCTTAAACCTGTTTCCTGTAGAGCTTTCTTTACAAAACAAAAGTGCACTCCAACTCTGGTGTGACGGTTACATTCAAACTGAAATAAGGCGACAAGCAAACAGCTAATGATGGTCAGTCATACAAGAATGAGAACTGAGGTAAACAGATCTTCACTTGGAAACAAAAAACAAACAAACAAAACAAAACAAAAAAAAGAAAACGGAATTTAACACCAGGAACTTCAGTCTCAACCTGTAGTGTTCAAATAAAAAGTGCTGGACAATAATCTAATGCATAGTCTAACACGACGTGTCAGCCTGGTTGAATGAAATGGAGGACACAAAAGATTACAATAATAAATATTTATGTAAAAAGCTTCATGAGTGCAACCCGTGTACAGCAGGAGGCAGTGCTTTGTGGCGCTCTCGTCACACAACAGTGGCTGCTTCCTTCAGATCAACTTTTTTTGGCAAAACTCTGGCTGTGTGTGAGGGAGAGGGAGAAAGAGGGGATGGAGGGACAGAGAGAAAGAGAGAACCTTGGTGGGGTTTGGTAGTGTTGTTTTATTTCCGCCATGTAAGAAAGGTCACATGACAAACTGGGAGGTGTTTGCATATCATTATGTTAATGAGATCTCCATGTTTAGGAAAAATAAAAGAAAAAAGAAAGCAATAAGAACCAAGACAAAAAAAAAAAAAAGAAACAAAGAAGCCTAAAGACACTAACACCTTCAGGACATGGATATAGACAGAGCAAGCTTCTGGGTGAAGTGACGGTGTTCAGGTGGGGTTGGTTGCTTCGGTCCTGATGGCACGGCGGTTGGCTTGACTCCGCTCGGCTTGCCGCCGCTGCATCACAGCGGCTTGCCCTCCAGAGACACCACCACGTTACCGCCCAGCTTCTCGGCCAGCGTCCGGCGGTCCTGAATGTCGTCCAGACCGTTCACCTGCCACTCGTGCTTGATACCTGAAAAGACGTTCCCAGAGTCAACGCAGGTGTGGATGAACACGCCCGAGCATTCACTGACTCACGCCAAACCAACACACACACACACACACACACACACACATACACACACACACACACACACACACACACACACACACACACACACACACACACACACACACACACACACAAGATGGGCAGGTCTGACCAATCACAGAACTTGTTTTCTAACCAAACAGTCATGAATGAGCCTAAAACCCAGACAAAAGCATCGCCACCACAGAACTAACAGGAAGCCATCGAGATCAATCCTCTGCTTCAACAAAGCCGTTAAGAAAACAAGAACACTTCACCCTGAGATAGAGTGTGTTTGTCATAAGCTGAGTGTTTATGGCTCTTCTGCCGCTGAGCTGACTGGTTTCTCCAGAAACAGCAACGTTAAACACCAGGCTTTAAGATCAATCTCTTTCTCACCTGATTAACCTGTAATGTTGCACATCTAGTAATATGTACGTGAACAATATATTGTTACACATGAAATGTAAAAGAAAAAAAAAAGTGACAACGACCTGATTACACACCTCATGCAAACTTATGTCTAACTGAGTTCCTGCTATCAATTCCAACCTGATGAAGCTGAAATCCAGGTCAGATTTGCCTAGCTTACATCCCCTTCTCTCTCCGTCAGTGGTACAATGGTGAAATTGATAAAGTGTCAAAATGATCCGTTTGCTCTCAGTAGTTCTGAACTGATTTGAATTTGTGGTTTTATCATCAGTGACCAGCAGCCTGCTGTTTCTGTTGTTCTCTTGGTTTGTTGTCAGATGAATTTCAGAAGGACAGTCGCTCTCTCTCTGTGGTGGTGAAACTTGTAAGCTCTGGTGTTGCAGTCATGCTCATGTTGTAAAATTAAATTACTATAAGCTTTACTATTTAGGTATAAAGGGCCCGGTCATTAGCCCCGCCCCCTGGCCCAACTCTGACTTGTTCTGCAAGTGGAGGAATGAAAAAAAAAAAAAAAACAAAAAAAAAACAGTTACACAAAAGTGTTTCACCGTAAAGATGGTTTGTAGTGCGTTTTGTTTCAACACAATGTGTTTGATGGCCTTATTACCAAGTTCAGAAAGATTGGATGGAGTTCACAAACAGTACAACTGGTCGGCTAAAGGGAAAGAATGGTTTTAATACTTTCTACAGCCAAAAATGACAATAACATCTGATATGGAGATCATTCATGTTGCTGCAGGAACTCTGTAACCAAGTCCTCACCTGTAAACTTCTTTTTGATGGCGTCTTTAGAGCTGGCGTAGATCATCTTGCTCTTCAGCGGAGCGCTCTCTGGGGCCCTGAGGAGGAAAAGAAATTCAAATGATAATTAAAAGCTAGAAGCTTTTAATACTTTTTATTTAATTTACTTAAAGAGTCAACTGATAAAGCGCTTTATATCGGTTCAATGATGAATGTAGAGGGCTGCATTCATGCAGTGTATTTATTACCAGTTAGTCATTTTTAGGGCTGTGCTGATCACAGTTTTCAGGTCAATCACCGATCTGTGAAAACTCTGACCTTCTGATTCTAATTTTGGCCTAAACTAATGTTTTAGGAAAAATTTTTAGCTTTCATATATATATTTTAGAACCCTTTCAACACAGTATGATCACACCACTGACTCCACTACTTAGGTTAAGCTCCCCACAATGCATCTGTGGAACATGACCAACCATCAGACGACCAACAAGATAGGAGACAAAAAATGATTGGACGTTAATATAGAATCTGATGGTAAGTTAAATTATTTTATGCCATACTGTGCTTAATTTTCATTAGATATATTAGAATGAATACATCTCACTTCATAACACTAAGCTACTACAACTCTGAGTAAAGGAATGGCTGCCAAGCAGAACACATCTGTAGAGCTGACATGTTTTTATTTTTACGGTTTTAATCGGCAGATTCAGACTTTAATTTTGGCATCAATGAGGAATTTTGGTAAGTGATTATGACATTGTACTTGAGATGAGTTTTCACAGCTGGAATCTTGAATACAACACGGGGCAGAAAAATGAAAGCAGCACAGTATAATTTTAGACTGAGACAAACCAACGTCTAAAAAATGCTAAAAACGTATTGCTGAAATCTAACAGTTGACATGGATTAGGCATTTTGGGACGGTGAGCAGAAAAAAGTCAAAGCAAGTCTGAAAGCAGCCTGACAAAGGCAGTATTAAAAAAAGGATTTGTTAATGTCCTGCTCTAAAAACAGGCCATTTGAAGACATCAAAGTGTGATCATGTTCTGCTGCCAGCAACCATCAAATAATCCCTAAAACAACAATAATGTCTGAATTATTATCCACAGCTCTGCAATAACTGCTTCTGAATGGAGGCGTCTCTGCTGCTGCTAAACCTGCAGCACACAATTCATACTAGACTGACCATAGAGCTTTCTATGAATATTAGCATCAGTAAAAGTTGAGCTGAAAAAGCAGAACTGAGCAATAAGAACTCAGTTCTGCTTCCAGAAGAGGATTTGCTCCAGGTGAGTGTCTGGTGGTCGTTCATGTGAGCCAATCAGAACAGCAGCCATGCAGGGCAGGTGTGGCTGTCCTCTGAGTCGATGGGACAGAATCTAATCCCAACCAGGCTGAGGATTACGTTCCTCTTAAAGCGCCGCACGGCTGTGAGGAAAGGAAACCTGGACGCCGGGTTAACCTGCTGCCTGTCACTTCACTCTGATTGGCGTTTTCTTCCAGCGTGTGAGTATGCAGCCGCATGACCCAACCGTGACGTCAAACAATAAAAAATTACTACATCAATAAATCAAGAAATGAAAACAAGCTGGATGATTTCAATTTGCAGGATTGTTTTCTGCTGTGGCCTCAACCAAATCTTTCTTTGATGACAGGCATTTCTTTCATAATTCATTTATTTGTTGTGTCTATTTTGTTTATGTTGGATATTTAAAATGTCTTCCAGTTCCAGAGTTAAATGTTCTTTCAAATTTAAAGTTTTTTGATGTTTAAGAGTGTGTTCTTACATCATTATACCATTCTCTCTATATATCGCTTGAAAATTGTTTCAAAACAACAATATTATCGTTTATCGGAATAACTTCTGGCACAATTTATTGTCTAGCAAAATGTTATAGTGACAGGCAGGAAAACTATGGTATGTTGTTTCTAAAGAATTGATAGTAAGTTTTATCAAAAGGCTCAATAAGAAGAAAAACAACTAAAAACAGAAAATTATTTCAGTCAGTTACACGTTCACCCTGGGAATTAATAACCTTGTTTAAAACATATCATGTTCCCCCATCACCACACCACCAGTACCGTACCAGAAGATGAAGACCAAGTCCTCCTTCTTTGACTCCCTGGTTTCGTAGGTGGCGTCGTACAGCGCGTATCTACAGTCATTGGAGGGGAGGAGCTTGACGAAGCAGCCGTAGGGGTCTTCCACGGTTTCGCCGATGTCTCCCACCAGGATCTGCTTCCCCTCTTCCACAATGATCTTCTTCCTGTCCTCGCTCAGACAAAACAGCACGGCCTTCTTCCTCTTCCTCACCTCTTCCTGAGTTGAAGACTTCCTCACCTTCATGTCGTTGAAAACCCTGATGACTTCATCGTTTACTGTCACACCTGATGCCTGCGGGGGGAGATGGGAGAGGGAGGCGTTCAGGGATCATAGCGACACGTTCATGGCTCTGCTGTGGTCAGCACTGTTTTTTCCTGTTTAAACAGTCAGCATTTTACAGCAACACTTAGCTCTGAAGACCTAAATCATCTGATGATTCTTTAGTTCTCTCACATTACCTCTAGTGTGGTGCAGACAGAAACCAAACACCAAGTCCCAGAGAATGACAGAAGCACCAAGAAGCTGAAGTCTTTAGGAAGCAATTATCCTATCGATTAATCAGATGACAAATATTGGCACATCCTACACATTTTTTATTTAAGCACTTAAGTCATTTTACAATATATTAGTAAAACATTAAAAGGTGCAAATAAATAATTAAATTCCTTCTTTATTGGCTAAAGTAGTTGTTTTGGTTGCCAAGCAATAAGGCAATGCTAACCAGTCTTGGACAACAAGACAAAAATTGTTTTCCATAAAATACTCTTACTCTCATCTATCAGCATAATTACACAACAAGGCCCATGGATTTTCCCAATATGCATTTTCTCAAACAAACCTTTCATGAATGAATGAACATAAAAAACCAAACAAAACAAAAAAAAAATCTGTGTCATCTAGATATCTGGTCTGGGTGGACTGGCTGAGTAACTACTGCATGCTAAAGGCAAGATTGTGCAATTAATAAAAGTTTTAAAATGTTTTGCTTTATTAAAGGCTTAAAAGATGGTGGAGTTTGAAAATTATTCTCAGCCATGAATGTTCAGGTGAGTCACTGACAGGAAGGGAGGAGCTGAGTGTGTGATTGCTGGTTTGCTGTCCAAAGAAGGACAATACGTTGAGACAGAAAAATTAGCATCTTAACTCATTTTTAGCTACTAAGCTGGTAGGAAGCTAGCATCTGCCAATCTGCTAATGGCAGTATTTTAGCTAATTCTTCCCAAACAGCTCTTAGCACAGTATATGGTACAAGCTAAGCTTAACCAACATGCTAGAGTTAGCCAACATGGTCATTTAAATGCTTAACATTACACTGCTTGATTTTCACATATCTTTTAATTGGTATGCTAGGTGCAATAAACTGGCTAACCAGCACCATGTCATCTAACAGTGTTTTTGCTGATTACAGCACAAATCTGATAAGGTTCAGCTCAGGACCCCCTGACAGCTCAGATTTTTTTGGTAGATGGTTTGACAATCAACCATACTTAACATGTCTGCACAGCTTTGCTTTAGTTCAGCTTTTTGAACAGTTTTCACCAAACAGTTCAACTTCCATCACAAATCAGTAGACAGTTTCTTTTTTTTTCATCTACTTTTTAAAATGCGGTGACATCCTTTACTGCAGCAGAACAGTCTCTGTAATAGTCAACAACCAAGTCTCTGTAATAGTCTTCAGCAATTTTAACCAAGAGGACATACAGCATGCACTAATTTTTTTTTTTTTGGACAATTCTATTTTGAAAATACTAAATCAAATTTAACATCTTGTGATGTTTTGTTCAGAGGAGAACATTTTGAGCAGTTCTCCTGTCTTGTAAAGGAGTCATTTAAATTTGCTGCAATTCTTTTTTTTTATCTGGGTTCATTTGTATTTAGACCTCTGCTCAATAACTGCGGAGGAAGAGAGAGAGACTGTTCCAGAAAAATCAGCGTATTTTTAAATATGCCTTATCAAGACAGTTCAGCACGTCAATATGTGAATAAGTGAAAAAGAATTGTGTTATAGTCTTATAACAAATAAATTACAGGTCACAGCTTTACAAATAGTGATGGAAAATCAGAGTGCACCTGTAGTTTGAAGACATTTTTGGTCATAGGAGTTATACCTTTTTAAGGTGAGACTTTTAATCTGATAAAAGTGATTCCTGACATATAACCATTTGTTTGAAGGTGTGGCTCTGGTAAGGTCAGAGCGACTATCTAGACAAGATAAGAAGATAGCACAGACTTGAATCAACGCCTCCATTCAACTCTTATGTGAAATTTCAATCATAAAGTTCCAAATCACTTCAACCTGCCGCTTTTAAGTAAATCATCTAAATATCAATGTATGCTTAACAATGGAGTCTCTGAATTAGTCTTTAACGAATGATTCAGTAGTTTCATGTCTCATTATGTTTTCAAGAAAATAAAAGGTGTGTCAGAAAAACTAGATTAGCTGGATTAGATTAAAATACTCTACAACAATAAACCTTGTGATTAAAATGCCCCACCCTCCTCCTCCTCCTTACAGAGTCCAACTAACTGAAACCAACTTTAAAATGAACAGATTAACTGACAACTTGTCAAGGAATGAAGCATAAATTAATTCCAGTCGTTTCTGTGTCCATTAAATGACTCTCTCTGATTAAATGTTCCGTTCCTGCGAGGAGTGGAGCCCTCCCAGGCCTCCACACGGTCTGCACCGTCACTGTGTGACTCAGCCTGGAGGAGAGTCGGCCTCACAGCCACGGTTCGATCAGTTCGGCGGGCCTGGATCAGCCCGGGACGCAGGGGTGCGGGTTGGTCGGCCGAGCAGCACCACAGCAGATAAGATGGCCGCCCGACGCTCCACGCCACGGCCACAGGGCAGGGCCGGCCCAGACTGTCACAATGGGTACCGGCTTCGACGCCACAGCGTTGAATTAATATGAAAACTATGTAATTCCATTAAGAACAGAAGGGAGAGTCTTGGTACCAGAACCGTTTCTTGGCGACGCACACACCCGACAGAGGCAGAATTTTGCGGACTAAGAGCGGCGGCAGCCATGCTAGCTAACAACACGTTACCCACCGACTCGCTCCACCGTCTGCGGGAGACCCGCAGGGTTGATGCGGCGACCGGACCCATTTCACACGCCTTTGTACATCAGGCGGAAAATCTCCAAATAGTACTTACCATTTTATTCCGGGATTTGTCCGCACTGCGTCGGAATCAGACTGATGTTTCTCGGGGTGAAAGGTAGCAGGGAATGTAGCCGACTGACCGGAGGAGGAGGAAGGAGCAGGGATCTGAGAGGCGGGGCTACAACCGCTCTGCTCCTTTCTTCTTGGACTTTATTCCTTCCTTTTTTTTTTTAAATGGAAACTTCCTCTTATGGAGAAACTAGTGAAATTGCGGTCTTATTGGATATACATACGCATTTACTTCCAAATGTATGGAATTCAATCTTAGGCTGGTCTTTAGGAATACTTTGCCTCTTAAATTAGAAATCCACTCAAGGCATTTTGTGTCCACGTTACACCGTGTGGTTACTGGTACGAAAATGAACCCATGTTCGAAAAAGTTCTTATCTTGAAACGTTCCAAAGCTGTTTCGGTTCATTGACAAGTATTGGAGTTACTGTTAGTCAGTTTTAAACAGAAAAGACGACCCCCTCCCCTCCCCCACCTCTACTGTTGATCTGCACATAAAAAAAGCACTGATCAGGATTTTTCTTGGCCGATACCAATTTCAGGTGTTGTTTAAGTCCCACTTGGTATTTCTAAAATTGATCGATTCCGATTTTTTAATTATAAAGTTCATAAAACTGAAAGACAAAAAATGTTCTTCTAGTTTCCAGATGCATATAGAATTTTTAACACCAATAAAGAATAAATAGAGGTGTTGCATAATTACATATGCAGCTAAGCATATGGCTATCAGATTTAATTCAAGTTTAAACAGTGGGGAAGATGACTGCCTTTGTGGCATAAATAAAACCAGTGGATTATAGAGTTCTGTTTAAAATCTTTTTGAACTCAGTATTAAATTGTGATACTTTTAGTAAATGGCATCCTGTAGGAATCTCCTGTCCATTGGAGATTTACAAAGTAATAAGAAAGAACACTTTCTATCCATCTTGGGGTCTAAAATGATTTAAATCCAACCTCAAGAGAACAAAACCATACAGCAAACCAACAGCTCAATATTATTTCTAAGTTATTGCTATGCCAAGAGGTAAAATTTTTTAGGGTTTAAAAAAAAAAATTAAGAAACCAATATCAAGGCAATAGTTTGGTTTTCCATATATATATATTTTTTTTACAATTCTTCAAAAATACTCCATTGAGGACTGCACACAAATTTCCTATGAAACTGAGATCTGGGTTTTGTGATGGTCACTCCAAAAGATTAACTTTGTTTTCTTATCTGCTTAAAAGACCAATTTATGTCCAAGCTACAACTTTCCACCTTAGAAATTCTGATACTGCTTCAATATCTTTGCATAATCTTTCCTTATGATGCATGTATTTGATATATAAGCCATATTTGATATATACATATATATAGCATTTTAATAACAACTGAAGGTAATATTTACTTGATTATGCTACAAAACAGCACTGTGTGTCTGGAAAATACATAGTACTGCTCAACAAAGACTTATAAACATTGAGCGTTCAGGAGCAGCAGTTTCAGTAAAAACTCACTTTATTTTTTTACATCAGAACAACATCAGAAGTTGAGGGCAACTAGCAGTCATAAATAGCAGACGTAACAGAAGTGAAATGAATGCTTCAACTAAATAAATACAGAGCAGTGAAAGACGGCTGCAGTAGCTCCAGTGTAGTGTCCACAGCTGACACACCACCATCAGCATCAAAGAGTGGGAATGTAAAGGTAGCAGAACATCAAAAACAGGAAATGGTGCAGTAGTAAAAAAAACTAAAAAAAATCTACTAAAACTACAAGCCCACTGCAGCAGCTGGAGGTCTTAAAGGAACAATTCACAATTTTAGAACGAAATTGCCTTCTCTCTCAGCAAGAGACACTCAAATTTTATAAAGGAATGTGAATAACAAAAATTTTAAATGTGTGAAGATGGAAATCAACAGGCATGTTTTTGAGACCTATATATCTGCGGAAATGAAAGTCATCAGCAGAACCGCTCTTCTTCCAGATTTTGTTTTCTGCCTACAAGGTCAGCTTGGTGTTCCTCTCAACTCTCAAACTTAAGTCTTTCATTTTATTTCAAAGCAGCACCATTACTGCAGACAGCTTGTGACTGCAGAGTGGCACAGGCGTCCACTCATATCTTATAGTTGCATACAGTGTTAAAACAAAGAGTCTAACTTATAAGAAGACTTCAGACTGCTAAACATCCCAGTTCCATGTGAAACTCTGAGCCAATAACAGAACACCAATCCCTGAGAGGCGGGGTCAGCTGCCAGGAACTCAGTCCATGTCCAACCTTTCCAGAAGGACAGACGTTTTCCTGACTGTCAGACACTCCTCTCTTAAAACTAAAAAGTGAATTGTGGTTTCTTCACTTTAAAAATCAGTAGTTGTTTATGGTTGACATTACTATTTTTAAATGTCTAGTATAATTGACTTTTTCAATGTCAAACAGGAAAAAAAACTTTTAAGTCTGAATGTTTAAAAGGATCTGCATGTTAATACCCCATAAAAAACAAAAAAACTGTTAAGTCTAACAGCCAAATCAAAATGTTTCACAAACACAATGTCTTTAAAATGTATGACATTTATTAATTTATTAGTAATTTTTTATTTATTTGCAAAAAAAAAAAAAAAAAGATTTAGGATCTGATCTTTAAGGCATTTTAACAGACATCTTTCCATAATGTATGGCTTTCATTTTAATTTTCTTTATGTACACTTGAAAATGCTACATTGCTGCCAAAAAAAAAAAAAAAAAAAACTGATTAAAGTATGAAAAAAAAAAACTTTTTTTTTACACTGCAAACTGGCTTTGAATATATATATATAGTGGTTTTCAATAGCTGACCTCAGAGCATCGAGGAAACCATGATAATATATGATCATGGTTCTGTATGCTGGGAGAGAAGAACACAAATGACAGAAAAAAATACTGTCAGATTTTTTTTGTTCTTTAGTACTAAATATTTCCACAATTCCTTTTTTGTGGTTGTAAGACTGTCCACTCATTTTTTGTTTAACAGTGACTATTTAATGAAGTATGAAAGAATTGTTTCAATGCAAACTATGCCATCTCTCATTCCCAATTAGGCCAGTTCCCACCTATGTACATTTGATCATATTGATTTTGGCAGCACCAGACTTCCACATACTTGAATGCTGCGCACCAGTGGCAAACAAGTTTTCATTTACAACTAAGATTCTGTCCCTGAGCAAAACATAAGAAACCTCGTCCGAGTCTTACCGGTCAGTGCAAATGTTCCTCAGTGGTTTTTGCTTTTCAAAAGGTGGGGAACTAGCAGGGACTCTACTGGCTCTAATGTCCTACAGCACCAAGTCTGTGTGTTCAACACGTCTCCTGAAACAGTCAGAGAAATTCTCCGCAGACCGAACTGCCTCAGGAAGGAACCCACAGCTTTTCTACTACGTTGTCGTCTCACACCAGTCGAAAAGAAGTAACACCCCAGGTGAGCCAACCTAACCGGGGATAAACTCTGAGATAACTACACCTTTGTGGAACATCTGCTCATCAACTTTTAAATTTGCACCGTTTTGAATGCCTTCTTTCATTTATTTCAACTCTTACAGCCTCTTGGCTGCATCCACCAGCTGATTTAGAATAATCTGGAAACAACATCAGTACTTTGTGAGAGTCAGTTTGCACATGTGGGGCCCCGGAGTCAGCAGCAGGACATACGGTGGCGAGGTCACTGTCGGGAGCGTTTGGCAGGTGGAGCGGCGCATCGCTCTCTGAGGCCCAGGCGGTTGAGCTCAGAGTGAAAAAACTGCTGCAGGCGCACGCCGGCCTTCGCCTCGTTAGTGTGGCGAGGATTGTACTGAAGACAGTTGGAGAACATCAACTCCACGTCGGAGATGTAGTCGCCTGCAGACACCCAGAGGGAAAAGGCTTGATAATCATCAGAACGCATTCACACTCAGAATTTACTTTGTTCACTTCAATAACAAATGCAGATCTAGGGATAATAAACACTATGGCTGGATTAATTAATCAATTTGAGTCTTTTATTATGATATGTCTTTTCCTGATCCTTAATGCCTTGTGACATCTCATGAGTATCATAACAAAACATGGCAGCAGCATTGAATGTTAGGGTGAACTGACCGATCACCGATCATTAAAATGCATCCACTCATCTCGGGCATCAACAACATTAATTTGGGAATTTTATAATGTTTTTCAATCATTTTTTAAACAATAACAAACATGTTCAATAAACTTAAAAAAAAAGTCATTTGAATGTTCAACAGGGAGGAGTTCAAGGCCAATCCAGAACTTTAATGTCAGTTCTATCCATTCCAAAACTCGACTGAATGTGTTTGGAATAACCATCTAGTTGGAAAATCCTATATTTCCTCATCTGATACCTTCAACGACAGAAAAACAGAAGTATTCACACCAAAAGTGAAACCTTCAGACACGTCTGATATTTGGAGAAAACACTGCCTAATGGAGAAACCATTCAGAAAAACAAGAGACAAAGACTGGACTGTTTGATCATGACAAAAACAATGTTGACGTTTCGATATTAGGAGTGCTGTTATTGTCAGCATGATGCTAATAGTCTGTTTCACTGTTAGTAGTACAGCAGACAGTGAAGGAAACCATGAAAGCAGCGTCATTCTTTAGTTTTTCCTCTTAGCAGGGAAATTGTTGAAATCAAGTAAGAAAGGGGAATTACTGTTTTATCTATCATCACATTCAATGGTCAGCCACACACACAGACAGAGAAGGGTGATACAGAGAGCTAAATTAATCAGCCAAATGTTTTTGGCAGAGGAAGGAAGCCAGAGTACCCAGAGAAAATCTAGGTGTGTACAGGGAGCTCATGGTAACTCCGAGTCAATCAAAGCCACCTCTAGGTGCGAGGCACCACTGCTAACTCTAAACAGTTTTCACCACCATGAAAGAAATCTCAATTGGAAAGATCAAATTTGAACAGTAACCATATGGTTTGAATAGTTTTTTCTTTTATTTTGAAGCTGGTTCCAGCTGGAACGTTCATTGCTGTATAATCTGTTAATATAAAAGTCTTTTATAAAGTTTTAAATGATCTGTTGTCACTAAAACAAAGATAACCAGAGAAGTAAGAATTGCAGGTAAGACAGTTGGAGCCTGCTGAGCAACCATGT